ACCTTTCTTCATAGGACACTCCCCTGAGCTGTGGAACTAGCCTTGTTGCAAACCTTTGTACTTTCTCTAATTTCTCGATGTGCTTGACTAGGTGTGGGTTCCGAACTGGTGCTGCATATTCTAGTATGGGCCTTACGTATACAGTGTACAGTGTCTTGAACGATTCTTTACTAAGGTATCGGAACACTATTCTCAGGTTTGCCAGGTGCCCCATATGCTGCAGTAGTTATCTGGTTGATGTGTGCCTCAGGAGATGTGCTAGGTGTTATGGTCACCCCAAGATCTTTCTCCTTGAGTGAGGTTTGCAGTCTTTGTCCACCTAGCCTATACTCTGTCTGTGGTCTTCTTTTCCCTTCCCCAATCTTCGTGACTTTGCATTTGGCAGAGTTGAATCCGAGAAGCCAGTTGTTGGACCACGTGTCCAGCCTGTTCAGGCCTCTTTGTAGTGTGTGTAGTGTGCGTAGTGTGTGTGGTGTGTGTGTGTAGTGTGTGTGTGTGTGTGTGTGTAGAGGGCTGAAGAAGGGTTACTGAGGTAGATTGGTCATTTAGAGTGCTTCTAGCAAAATAGGATGACTTGGAGGATGTATAAACCTATAGTGGAAGGGAGGAGGGGTAGGGGTAGTCCTAGGAAAGGATAAAGGGGTGGTAAAGGAGGTTTTGTGTGCAAGGGGCTTGAACTTACAGCAGACATGTGTGAGCGTGTTAGAGGAGTGAATGGAGACAAATGGTATTTGGGACCTGATGAGCAGTTAGGGTTTAAGCAGGGTAATATTTTCTGAAGGGATTAAGGGAAACCAGTTAGCTGGACTTGAGTCCTGGATGTGGGAAGGACAATGCCTGCACTTTAAAAAAGGTGTTTGGGATATTGGCTGTTTGGAGCGACATCTAAACTGTTATATCTGAATGCCTCTGCAAAGAAAGCTTTTCTTTCTTTTTTGGTTCACCTTGCCCTGCTAGGAAACAGCTGATGAAAGGGGGTAAAGCAGTTGGAACTTACAGGATCATGACAGAAATGTTAAAAGCAGGGGGGCTGAAGGGATATAGTGTTGGAGTGGTTGGTATATTTGTTTAATAAATGTATGAAAGAGGGGAAGGTACCTGGGGATTGGTAGAAAGCATGTGTAGTTCCTTTATATAAAGGGAAGGGGGACAAAAGAGATTGTAAAAATTATTGGGGAAGTTTACTGAGTACACCAGGTAAAGTGTATGGTAGGGTTATTATTGAAAGAATTAGAGGTAAGACAGAGAGCAGGATTGCAGATGGAGGAAGCTCTAAAATGGGTAGAGGATGTGTAGATCAAGTGTTTACATTGAAACATAAAAGTGAACAGTATTTAGATAAAGGTAGGGAAGTTTACATTTCATATGATAGAGTGGATAGGGAAGCAATGTGGCAAATGTTGCAAGTGTATGGAATAGGTAGTAAGTTACTAAATGCTGTAAAGAGTTTATGAGGATAGTGAGACTCAGCTTAGGGTGTGTAGGAGAGAGGGAGACTACTTCCCAGTAAAGGGTCTTAGACAGCTATGTGAAATGTCACCATGGTAGTTTAACATAGTATTTATAGATGGGGTTGTAAAAGAAGTAAATGGTAGGGTGTTGGGGATAGGGGTGGGATTAAATTATGGGGAATCAAATACAAAATCTGAGCGGACAGTTGCTGTTTGCTGATGATACTGTGCTTTTGGGAGATTCTAAAGAAGAGTTGCAAAGGTTAGTGGATGAGTTTGTGAGGGTGGGTAAAGGTACAGAGTTGAAAGTGAACATAAATAAGAGTAAGGTATCAAACGATTTAGATAAAGAAAAATTGGATATCTCATTGAAGGGAGGGAGTATGGAAGAAGTGAATGTTTTCAGATATTTGGGAACTGACTTGTCAGCAGATGGGTTTATGAGGGATGAAGGAAACAAGGCGAGTGGTGCATTGAGGTATGTGGAGACAAAAAAAAATGTTATCAATGGAGGCAAAGAAGGGAATGTACAAGAGTATATCAGGCTTTTATATGTATGTGAAAGTGAAAAAAAAGGCTATATTCATTTTCGAGCGATTTTCGCTTTACAGCAGTACCCTCAAACCTAACCTGCTGTACAAGCAGGGTCCTACAGTAGCCTGGAACCTAACCTGCCATATAAGTGGGGCCCTACAGTAGCCTGGAACCTAATCTGCTGTATAAGCAGGGCCCAACAGTAGCCAGGAACCTAACCTGCTGTATAAACTGAACTCACAGTAGCCCAGAACTTAACCTGTTACATAAACCGGGCTCTACAGTAGCCCAAAACCTAACCTGCTGTGTAAACTGGGCCCTTCAATAGCCTGGAAGCTAACCTGCTGTATAAACCAGGCACTACAGTTGCCCAGAACCTAACCTGCTGTATAAACCGGGCCCTACAGTAGCCTGGAATCTCACCTGCTGTATAAGCGAGGCCCTACAGTAGCTTGGAACCAGTAGCGGCTCGTGTATAAGCACTGTGGAACTGCAGCACCCCCTATTTTCACTCAATATTATCGATAACATTCAATATAATGAGTCTTTTTTCTTTAATTCTTCCTTTATACTTGTACATTATATAATCCTTAAGCTTAATGTCAGTAGCCATCCTTTAGTACATGAAAAAATTACAAAAATCCTTTATATGCTTGTTTCATTTTACACAATGTTAAAACAATGGCTAAAAATTTTCTGAAGCAGCACCTCCACTAATTTTACCTATGAGCTGCCACTGCTCGGAACCTAGCCTGCTGTATAAACCGGGCCTTACAGTAGCCTAGAACCTAACCTGCTGTATAAGCAGGACCTTACCATAGTTCAGAACCTAATCTGCTGTATAAGAGGTCCTACAATACTAGTCCAGAGCCTAGCCTGCTGAATAAGCGAGGCCCTACAGTAGCCCGGAGCCTAACCTGCTGCTTGAGGCCCTAGCCTGGAATCTAACCTGCTGCTTGAGGCCCTACAGTAGCCCAGAGCCTAACCTGCTGCTTGAGGCCCTACAGTAGCCTAGAACCTAACCTGCTGCTTGAGGCCCTACAGTAACCTGGAACCTAACCTGCTGCTTGAGGCCCTACAGTAGCCTGGAGCCTAACCTGCTGCTTGACGCCCTACAGTAGCCTGGAATCTAACCTGCTTGCTTGAGGCCCTACAGTAGCCCAGATCCTAACCTGCTGCTTGAGGCCCTACAGTAGCCTGGAACCTAACCTGCTGCTTGAGGCCCTACAGTAGCCCGGAGCCTAACCTGCTGCTTGAGGCCCTACAGTAGCCTGGAACCTAACCTGCTGCTTGAGGCCCTACAGTAGCCTGGAACCTAACCTGCTGCTTGAGGCCCTACAGTAGCCCGGAGCCTAACCTGCTGCTTGAGGCCCTACAGTAGCCTGGAACCTAACCTGAGGTACTCAATATCTTGAGACTAAATTAAGAAAAATATTCATTTTCTCTTTATCTATCTCCAGGGATTACCTTGATTCTACTGAAAGGCTCTTCACCCAATGAACTGGAGCTACCCTCCCCTTCCTTGGATCAAATCTGATTACCTCCCATTTCCCCAGACACTGGATGACCCCTATAAGTTTAGTGCTTCTCCATGAATATACAAATTAAAATGGTTACAGTATTTGCAGTTTTGAACTGTAGTATCAGCAGCCCTCTGGCAAGACAGTGATGGTGTGAGCGATGGCAAAAGTATTTCTTCTTTCTTCGGGGTCACCCCACCTTGGTGGGAGATGGCCAGTTTGTTGATAAAAAAAATTATAAAAGAGGAACCTGTGCAATGATTCTGCGAGCTGTCCCAGCCTGGACCGACACAGGAGGATACACTGGTAGTCGTGGCGGGTTGTCGTTGACATCATTAAGAACCACAGTGAGGGTGATTGGTGCGCTGGCAGCACCACCTTCCCGGGCCTCTCGTGCTACAATCTGTTAGAAACAAATTCTTGGCGTTAATATGCTCATTCTCATTCTCATTCTCTCTCTCTCTCTCTCTCTCTCTCTCTCTCTCTCTCATTCTCTCTCATTCTCTCTCTCTCTCTCTCTCAGCCCCATAAATATGGTAGGCACTCCTGTACAGGGTAGGCACAGTAGTGCCTACCATGGAGCTGAACTCTTCTCCAGACTGAGGGACTGATCACCTCAAATACTTTTTATCCAAGGCTGATGGACTGATTACATCATCTTCATTTAATGACTACTGCTGCCTATGTATCTGACTGAAGAAGCCTACCGCTTAGGTGAAATGTTTCCTCAATAAACCATGTGTTTTACTTTTCAAATAAGTTTGTGTTATCTCAAGGAAAACAATGACATATTGTATTAAAACAAGAGTATGTTTATTAGTAACGAAGCTTTGTTACTAACTATGGGGCCCCCACAAGTTGCTAACCATGGGGCCCCCACAAGTTGCTAACCATGGGGACCCCACAGGTTGCTAACATGGGGACCCCACAAGTTGCTAACCATGGGGCCCCCAAAAGTTGCTAACCATGGGGCCCCCAAAAGTTGCTAACCATGGGGACCCCACAAGTTGCTAATGATGGGGCCCCCACAAGTTGCTAACCATGGGGACCCCACAGGTTGCTAACATGGGGACCCCACAAGTTGCTAACCATGGGGCCCCAAAAGTTGCTAACCATGGGGCCCCCACAAGTTGCTAACCATGGGGCCCCAACAAGTTGCTAACCATGGGGCCCCCACAAGTCGCTAACCATGGGGCCCCCACAAGTTGTTAACCATGGGGCCCCCACAAGTTGCTAACCATGGGGACCCCACAAGTTGCTAACCATGGGGACCCCACAAGTTGCTAACAATGGGGCCCCCACAAGTTGCTAACCATGGGGACCCACAAGTTGCTAACCATGGGGCCCCCACAAGTTGCTAACCATGAGGACCCCACAAGTTGCTAACCATGAGGACCCCACAAGTTGCTAACCATGGGGCCCCCACAAGTTGCTAACCATGGGAACCCCACAAGTTGCTAACCATAAGGCCCCCACAAGTTGCTAACCATAAAGCCCCCACAAGTTGCTAACCATGGGAACCCCACAAGTTGCTAACCATGGGTCCCCCACAAGTTGCTAACCATGGGGCCCCCACAAGTTGCTAACCACGGAGCCCCCACAAGTTGCTAACCATGGGGACCCCACAAGTTGCTAACCATGGGGCCCCCACAAGTTGCTAACCATGGGGACCCCACAAGTTGCTAACCATGGGGCCCCCACAAGTTGCTAACCATGGGGCCCCAACAAATTGCTAACCATGGGGCCCCCACAAGCTGCTAACCATGGGGCCCCCACAAGTTTCTAACCATGGGGTCTGTACAAGTTGCTAACCATGGGGCCCCCACAAGTTGCTAACCATGGGGCCCCCACAAGTTGCTAACTATGAGGCCCCCACAAGTTGCTAACCATGGAGCCCCACACAAGTTGCTAACCATGGGGCCCCCACAAGTTGCTAACCATGGGGCCCCACACAAGTTGCTAACCATGGGGCCCCAACAAGTTGCTAACCATGGGGCCCCACCCCACAAAAGCTGCTAACCATGGGGCCCCCACAAGTTGCTAACCATGGGGCCCCACACAAGTTGCTAACCATGGGGCCCCCACAAGTTGCTAACCATGGGGCCCCAACAAGTTGCTAGCCATGGTGCCCCCACAAGCTAACCATGGGGCCCCCACAAGTTGCTAACCATGAGGCCCCCACAAGTTGCTAACCATGGGGCCCCCACAAGTTGCTAACCATGGGGCCCCCACAAGTTGCTAACCATGGGGCCCCCACAAGTTGCTAACATGGGGTCCCCACACAAGTGCTAACCATGGGGGCCCTCCAACAAGTTGCTAACCATGGGGCCCCCACAAGCTGCTAAACCATGGTGGCCCCCACAAGTTGCTAAACCATTGGTGGACCCCACACGTTGCAAACCATGGGGCCCCCACAAGTTGATAACCATGGGGACCCCACAAGTTGCTAATGATGGGGCCCCCACAAACTGCTTGTCCTTGGCAGGGGTCCCAAACCACAAGTTGCTAACCATAGGCCCTCCACAAGTTGCTAACCATGGGGCCCCCCACAAGTTGATAACCATGGGCCCCCCACAAGTTGCTAACCATGGAGCCCCCACAAGTTGCTAACCATGGGGACCCCACAAGTTGCTAACCATGGGGACCCCACAAGTTGCTAACAATGGGACCCCCACAAGTTGCTAACCATGGGGCCCCCACAAGTTGCTAATCATGGGGCCCCACAAGTTGCTAACCATGGGGCCCCCACAAGTTGCTAACCATGGGGCCCCACACAAGTTGCTAACCATGGGGCCCAAACAAGTTGCTAACTAAGGGGCCCCCACAAGTTGCTAACCATGGGGCCCCCACAAGTTGCTAACCATGGGGCCCCAACAAGTTGCTAACCATGGGGCCCCCACAAGTTGCTAACCATGGGGACCCCACACGTTCCAAACCATGGGGCCCCCCACAAGTTGATAACCATGGGGACCCCACACGTTGCAAACCATGGGGCCCCCACAAGTTGATAACCATAAGGACCCCACAAGTTGCTAATGATGGGGCCCCCACAAACTGCTTGTCCTTGGCAGGGGCCCCAAACCACTTGTTGCTAACCATGGGCCCTCCACTTGTTGCTAACCATGGGCCCTCCACAAGTTGCTAACAATGGGCCCCCCACAAGTTGCTAACCATGGGGCCCCCCACAAGTTGCTAACCATGGGCCCCCCACAAGTTGCTAACCATGGGGCCCCCCACAAGCTGCTAACCATGGGGCCCCCACAAGTTGCTAACCATGAAGCCCCCACAAGTTGCAAAGCATGGGCCCCCCACAAGTTGATAACCATGGGGCCCCCACAAGTTGCTAACCATGGGTCCCACAAGTTGCTTAACCATGGGGCTCCACAAGTTGCTAAATCACATGGGGTCCCCACAAGTTGCTAACCATGGGGCCCCACAATAACCGCTGGTCCTGTGCAGGGGGCCCCCAAACCACAAGCTTGCTAACCCTGGGGCCCCACACAACTGCTTCCACTAGTGCCAGGGTCCACAAAGTTGCTAACCATGGGGCCCCCACAAGTTCTAACCATGGGGCCCCCACAAGTTGCCAACCATGGGCTCCCGCTATAACGGGTCCCAGTCTAACCATGGGCCCCACAAGTTGCTAACCCATGTGGACCCCACAAGTTGCTAACCATGGGGCTCCCCACCAGCTACAGTTGCTAACCATGGGGCCCCCACAAGTTGCTAACCATGGGGCCCAACAAGTTGCTAAGCATGGGGCCCCCACAAGCTGCTAACCATGGGGCAAAGGTTGCTAACCATGGGGCCACCACAAGTTGCTAACCATGGGGCCCCCACAAGTTGCTAACCATGGGGTCCCACAAGTTGCTAAACCATTTGGCCACAACCTACCCACAAGTTGTATAACCATGGGCCCCACAAGTTGCTAACCATGGGGTTCCCACAAGTTGCTAATGATGGGGCCCCCACAAACTGCTTGTCCTTGGCAGGGGCCCCAAACCACAAGTTGCTAACCATGCGCCCCCCACAAGCTGCTAACCATGGGGCCCCCACAAGTTGCTAACCATGGGGCCCCCACAAGCTGCTAACCATATGGCCTCCACAAGTTGCTAACCATGGGCCCCCCACAAGTTGCTAACCATGGGCCCCCCACAAGTTGCTAACCATGGGGCCCCCATAAGTTGCCAACCATGGGGCCCCCATAAGTTGCTAACCATGGGGCCCACAAGTGCTAACCATGGACCCCACAAGTTGCTAACCATGGGCCCTCCACAAGTTGCTTAACCATGGGCCCACACAAGTTGCTAACCATGGGGCCCCCACAAGTTGCTAACCATGGGGCCCCCACAAGTTGCTAACCATGGGGATCCCCACAAGTTGCTAACCATGGGGTCCCCACAAGTTGCTAACCATGGGGTCCCCACAAGTTGCTAATCATGGGGTCCCCACAAGTTGCTAACCATGGGGGCCCCACAAACTGCTTGTCCTTGGCAGGGGCCCCAACTTTCCAGGGCTCACAAGTTAGCTATCTATGGGGCCCCTCAAACTACTTGCCCTTGGCAGGGGCCCCAACCACAAGTTGCTAACCATGGGGCCCCCACAAACTGCTTGTCATTGGCAGGGGCCCCAAACCACAAGTTGCTAACTATGGGGCCCCCACAAACTGCTTGTCCTTGGCAGGGGCCCCCAACACAAGTTGCTAACCATGGGGCTCCACAAGCTACTACTCATGGAGCTCCACAAGCTAACCATGGGGCTCCACAAGCTGCTAACCATGGGGCTCCACAAGCTGCTAACCATGGGGCTCCAGAAGCTACTAACCATGGGGCTCCACAAGCTACTAACCATGGGGCTCCAGAAGCTACTAACCATGGGGCTCCACAAGCTACTAACCATGGGGCTCCACAAGCTACTAACCATGGGGCTCCACAAGCTACTAACCATGGGGCTCCACAAGCTGCTAACCATGGGGCTCCACAAGCTAACCATGGGGCTCCACAAGCTACTAACCATGGGGCTCCACAAGCTACTAACCATGCGGCTCCACAAGCTACTAACCATGGGGCTCCACAGGCTACTAACCATGGGGCTCCACAAGCTGTTAACCATGGGGCTCCACAAGCTGTTAAATATGGGGCTCCACAAGCTACTAACCATGGGGCTCCACAAGCTGCTAACCATGGGACTCCACAAGCTACTAACCATGGGGCTCCACAAGCTACTAACCATGGGGCTCCACAAGTTGCTAACCATGGGGCTCCACAAGTTGCTAACCATGGGGCTCCACAAGCTGCTAACCATGGGGCTCCACAAGCTACTAACCATGGGGCTCCACAAGCTGCTAACCATGGGGCTAACCACCAGTTTGCTAAACCATGTGGCTCCACAAGCTGTTAACCATGGGGCTCCACATTGCTAACCATGGAGGCTTCACACTAAGCTGTTAACCAGTTTCCACAAGCTGTAACCATGGGATCCACAAGCTATAAACATTGGCTCCACTAGCTACTAACCATTGGGCTCCACATTGTTAATCATGAGGCTTCAAAGTTGTAACCAGGATGCCACAAGCTGTTAACCTGGGCTCCACAAGCTTTGTTAACCATGAGGACTACAAGCTTACTAACCATGGGGCTCCACAGCTTACTAACCATGTGCTGCTCCAACAAGTTGCTAACCAATGGGGCTCCACAAGCTGTTCACCCTTGGGTCACAAGTTGCTAAACTTGTGGGCGTCCACAAGCGTTTAAAACAGGGCTCCACAAGCTGTTAAACTCATGGGGCTTCACAAGCTGTTAAACCTGGGGCTCCCAAGTTTTTAACCCATGGGGCTCCACAGCTTGTTAACCATGAGCTCCACAAGCTTTAACCATGGGTCCCAAGCTGTTAACAGGGGCTCCACAATCGTTATCCTGGGGCTCCACAGCTAACTAACATTGGGCTGCCACAAGCTGTTAACCATGGGGCTCCACAAGCTTTAAGCCATGGGGCTCAGACAGCGATTAACCATGGGGCTTCACAGTTTAACCATGGGCTCCACAAGTTGTAAACCATGGGTCTCACAAGCTGGTTAATCATGGAGCCTCATCACAAGCTGTTAACATGGGGCTCCACAAGCTTGGTAATATCATGGGTGCTCACAAGCTGATAACGCATGTGGGCTTCCACAAAGCTGTTTAACCATGGCTCCACAACCCGCTACTAACAATGAGGCTCCACAAGCTATAACCATGGGGGGCTCCACCAGCTGCTAACCATGGGGCTCCACAAGCTGTTAATCATGGGGCTCCACAAGCTGCTAACCATGGGGCTCCACAAGCTGTTAACCATGGGACTCCAGAAGCTAATAACCATGGGGTTCCACAAGCTACTAACCAAGGGGCTCCACAAGCTACTAACCATGGGGCTCCACAAGTTGTTAACCATGGGGCTCCACAAGCTACTAACCATGGGGCTCCACAAGATGTTAACCATGGGGCTCCACGAGCTACTAACCATGGGGCTTCACAAGTTGTTAACCATGGGGCTCCACAAGTTGTTAACCATGGGGCTCCACAAGCTGTTAACCATGGAGCTCCACAAGCTAACCATGGGGCTCCACAAGTTGCTAACCATGGAGCTCCACAAGCTGTTAACCATGGGGCTCCACAAGTTGCTAACCATGGGGCTCCACAAGCTGTTAACCATGGGGCTCCAGAAGCTGCTAACCATGGGGCTCCACAAGCTACTAACCATGGGGCTCCACAAGCTACTAACCATGTGGCTCCACAAGTTGCTAACCATGGGGCTCCACAAGCTACTAACCATGGGGCTCCACAAGCTACTAACCATGGGGCTCCACAAGCTGCTAACCATGGGGCTCCACAAGCTGTTAACCATGGGGCTCCACAAGCTACTAACCATGGGGCTCCACAAGCTGCTAACCATGGGGCTCCACAAGTTGCTAACCATGGGGCTCCACAAGCTTTTTTTCCTGCAACCCCCCAGAATTTCATTAAAAATGTGGACTATTTCTTTTCCACATCAAAGCTTCTTTTTCTTTCTGGTCATTCTTTCTTATGAATGTTAAATATTACCTAGATATAACAGTTTTTAAAAGATATGTCCTCTGAAAAATAAAACAATGTGAAACATGAACTATTATACAGATAGTTCTGCACTATTTATAAATTCTATGGTAGGTTAAAGGACACAGATGCAACTAATGTGACTTTGTACTGTGGCAACATTTTGCTCTCCTGGAGAGTGAAACGTTGCCACAATAAAATGTCACTTTAGTTGCATCTGTGTCCTTTCTCCTAACATTTTGTTGGAAATTCTACCATCATTGTAGACTCCAAAGTAGGTTCACAGGGCCTCTAGGAATGTAACTCTTGTAAATTTGGGCAGTCAACTGAACAGTTTAATAAGCTCAGAGCTTATTAAAGGTTTAATAAGCTCAGAGCACAGCAGATTTGCAAGCAGCTATGTCAGAAATACCTCTGATGAGTTCTCAAAGTTTTTCTACTCCCAGAGCCTTGGCATGGGTCAGTCTCATCAGTAATGTTGTTACAAACGACACAATTCACAAATATGGGCACAGTAAGTCCTCAACTTACAAACACATCGAAAATCTTCTGTATTGAGCATAATATCATTAGACGTGTTGGCCAGGCTGTAGTATCCTCTGATAACATTATTTTCCTAGGTAGTAGGTTGGTAGACAGCAAACGCCCAGAGAGGTACGTACTACCATCCTGCCAAGTGAGTGTAAAACAAAAGCCTGTGTACTTGTTTTACAAGATGGTAGGATTATTGGTGTCTTTTTTCTTTCTCATAAACATGCAAGCTTTCAGGTACGACTTGCTACTTCTACTTACACTTAGGTCACACTACACATGCGTGTACAAGCATATACGGTATTTTGCAGCTTATAACATGCATTTCTTTTCCATACAGTCTCCAAAAACCACCCTGCATCCTATAAACTGAAGGTCAGTGATGGGAGCTATAAGTCGTGTGGGGTGGGCTGTAGATCTCTCAGTTAAGTCCAATGCCAAGTCATTGAAACTAAAACAAGTCATATAAGGCACGTCTTATAAGCTGCAAAATACAGCATATACACACACTCCTCTGGGTTTTCTTCTATTTTCTTATTAGTTCTTGTCTTGTTTATTTCCTCTTATTTCTATGGGGAAGTAGAAGAGAATATTTCCTCCGTAAGCCATGCGCGTCGTAAGAGGTGACCGAAATGCCAGGAGCAAGGGGCTAGTAACCCCTTCTCCAGTATACATTACTAAAGTTAAAAGAGAAACTTTTTGTTTTTCTTTTTCTGCCACCCTGCCTTGGTGGGATACGGCCAGTGTGTTGAAAGAAGAATATCATTATTATATCATTAATACAGAAGGTCCCCAATGTGTTCGTAAGTTGAAGACTTCCTGTATTATGAATATTATACACAATTCAGGAGGTCCCCAATGTGTAAGTTGAGGACTTCTTGTATGAGCTACTCACACCAGACAATATAGAAATTCTGAGTCCCAAAAATTGAGATAATTCTCCAGACAGCCTACCTGAAAGGTGTAAACTCCTGGATTGGGAGGATCACGATCCAAGTTATTCTCAGCCACCACCAGCTGGCCTCCCGATGCCACACGGAATGCTGTAGTTGTCAGCTCCCAGGTATACTTTGGAAGTTCATCAGCAGCAGTCTTAAAAAATATATAAAACTGAGTCAAATTTGCTAAAATTAATGGAGATATTTGAAGCTTTCAACCATGGTATCAGTGCCCCTCTGGCAAGACAGTGATAGATTGAGTGATGGTGAAAGTGTTTCTTCTTTTTTGAGTCACCCTTCCTCGGTGGGAGATTGCGCAGTTTGTTCAAAAAAACAAAAAGTTCTGCATTTTATTTTTTTTATATTCCCTCATAGACCATTTAACAAGATCTAAAGTGAGCAGTTGATCCAGATAAAAACAAACACTAATATTCTTCATTTTATGGCCATGTGCCATCAAAGTAGAGTCCCCCTCCCCCCAAAAAAAATATTCACTATTATTCATCCAATTGCTTTTTTGCCAGAATTTTACTGAAATCACAACTGAAATGACCCTCCAACTGCAACATCCCAACCCATCCTCAAGAGTTCAGACACTGTACTTCCCACCTCCAGAACTCAAGTCTAAATCCCTTCATAAATGTAGCCTTATTCACACTCCAACAGCAGATCAAAGCCTAAAAACCATTCATCTCCACTCACTCCAACCTACCATGCAAACACACACTTGCTGGCTACTCAAGCCTCTACCACTGAAAGCCTCCTTCACACCTTTCCTTAAACCTTACGATGACCCTCTATCCCTCCTTTCTTCCACTCTGGATTTATACATCCTTTCAGTTCATTATTATTTTAATACTTTAATTTATATTCTAGACAAAAAAACTTGTGTTTTAGCAAATTAGTCATAACAGAGCCCTAAATAAAAATTAATGAGGTATCATACTTTAAGAAGCTTCATAATAAAGTTGATTTCGTGTATAGGGCAAGGAGGAACAACATCTTGTAGGAGTGAGGAAGAGCCAGTTGTGAGTGTGGGGGAAGTTCGTGAGGCAGTAGGTAAAATGAAAGGGGGTAAGGCAGCCGGGATTGATGGGATAAAGATCGAAATGTTAAAAGCAGGTGGGGATATAGTTTTGGAGTGGTTGGTGCTATTATTTAATATATGTATGGAAGAGGGTAAGGTACCTAGGGATTGGCAGAGAGCATGCATAGTTCCTTTGTATAAAGGCAAAGGGGATAAAAGAGAGTGCAAAAATTATAGGGAGATAAGTCTGTTGAGTATACCTGGCAAAGTGTATGGTAGAGTTATTATTGAAAGAATTAAGAGTAAGATGGAGAATAGGATAGCAGATGAACAAGGAGGCTTTAGGAAAGGTAGGGGGTGTGTGGACCAAGTGTTTACAGTGAAACATATAAGTGAACAGTATTTAGATAAGGCTAAAGAGGTCTTTGTGGCATTTATGGATTTGGAAAAGGTGTATGACAGGGTGGATAGGGACACAATGTGGCAGATGTTGCAGGTGTATGGTGTAGGAGGTAGGTTACTGAAAGCAGTGAAGAGTTTTTACGAGGATAGTGAGGCTCAAGTTAGAGTATGTAGGAAAGAGGGAAATTATTTCCCAGTAAAAGTAGGCCTTAGACAAGGATGTGTGATGTCACCGTGGTTGTTTAATATATTTATAGATGGGGTTGTAAGAGAAGTAAATGCGAGGGTCTTGGCAAGAGGCGTGGAGTTAAAAGATAAAGAATCACACATAAAGTGGGAGTTGTCACAGTTGCTCTTTGCTGATGACACTGTGCTCTTGGGAGATTCTGAAGAGAAGTTGCAGAGATTGGTGGATGAATTTGGTAGGGTGTGCAAAAGAAGAAAATTGAGTGAATACAGGAAAGAGTAAGGTTATGAGGATAACAAAAAGATTAGGTGATGAAAGATTGGATATCAGATTGGAGGGAGAGAGTATGGAGGAGGTGAATGTATTCAGATATTTGGGAGTGGACGTGTCAGCGGATGGGTCTATGAAAGATGAGGTGAATCATAGAATTGATGAGGGGAAAAGGGTGAGTGGTGCACTTAGGAGTCTGTGGAGACAAAGAACTTTGTCCTTGGAGGCAAAGAGGGGAATGTATGAGAGTATAGTTTTACCAACGCTTTTATATGGGTGTGAAGCATGGGTGATGAATGTTGCAGCGAGGAGAAGGCTGGAGGCAGTGGAGATGTCATGTCTGAGGGCAATGTGTGGTGTGAATATAATGCAGAGAATTCGTAGTTTGGAAGTTAGGAGGAGGTGCGGGATTACCAAAACTGTTGTCCAGAGGGCTGAGGAAGGGTTGTTGAGGTGGTTCGGACATGTGGAGAGAATGGAGCGAAACAGAATAACTTCAAGAGTGTATCAGTCTGTAGTGGAAGGAAGGTGGGGTAGGGGTCGGCCTAGGAAAGGTTGGAGGGAGGGGGTAAAGGAGGTTTTGTGTGCGAGGGGCTTGGACTTCCAGCAGGCATGCGTGAGCATGTTTGATAGGAGTGAATGGAGACAAATGCTTTTTAATACTTGACGTGCTGTTGGAGTGTGAGCAAAGTAACATTTATGAAGGGGTTCAGGGAAACCGGCAGGCCGGACTTGAGTCCTGGAGATGGGAAGTACAGTGCCTGCACTCTGAAGGAGGGGTGTTAATGTTGCAGTTTAAAAACTGTAGTGTAAAGCACCCTTCTGGCAAGAAAGTGATGGAGTGAATGATGGTGAAAGTTTTTCTTTTTCGGGCCACCCTGCCTTGGTGGGAATCGGCCAGTGTGATAATAAAATAAAAAATACATAAAAACACATAAAAGTACCTGTACGTTGTGTTTATGCATGCACACAACATGTACACAATGTGCAGACATATATCAGCATACACATCAATAAATATATGCATCAGTAAATACATGAATTCACATTAGTATACATTATGTACATACTAGATCAGGATCAGTCACAGTGAGAACAATGGGGTGAGGCTGAGGCAGGTCATCATACACAGGAGTCCCAGGAGAAGCATTTTCATTAACATTACCAGTTTGTGAAGATGCTGTCACTACTGGTGGGGATGAGTCTACTCCCTGAACACTGATCACTAGTTTGGCAGTGGCAAACCTCCTGGCTTCACTCTCCTCCTCTGCCTGTTAACAAGAAAAATCATATATTGTACAATTTGATTAAACAAACATACAAAAACAAACTTCATTTCTTTCTGCAGTATACAAAATGTAGTTTACATGTAATAAAATACATGTATTGCAAAGCATAAAAGAAAACCACTAGCATGCCGAGCATTTCAGGCAGACTAGTCAAATTAGTGATCATATACATTTAGGTCACACTACACAGTCATGAACATGTATATGTATATACACCCATCTGAGTTTTCTTCTATTTTCTAAATGGTTCTTGTTATTATTTATTTCCTTTCATCTACATGGAGAAGTAGAAAGAAATCTTTCCTCTGTAAGCCATGCATGTTGTAAGAAGCGACTAAAATGCTGGGAGCAAGGGGCTAATAACCCCTTCTCCTGTATAAATTACTAAATGAAGAACAAGAAAAACTAAATAGTTTTCTTCTTTTTCGCGTCACCTGCTGCTGTGGGAGACGGCCGGTATGCTGAAATAAAAAACATCCAGGGTTCTACCTGGAGGGTGTTCTGGGGTCAACGCCCCTGTGGCCTGGTCTATAAACAGGCCTATATAAGGGGGCCATGGGGTGGAAACCTGGTTGGGAGAGGACGAGAGGACCATTATAGAAGGTGATGGATATTATGGAGGGACTTTAGCCCCCCTTGGCACTGCCAGTGAATATATTCATTATCAATGACAATATACAGCGACTATACCCACTAGCCAGTTACAATATACAGTGAATGTATCCACTAGCCAGTGACAATATATAATGAATATATCCATTAGCCAGTGACAATATAATGTGAATATATCAACTAGTAGTAGGTTGGTAGACAGCAGCTGCCCAGGGAGGTACTACCATTCTGCCAAGTGAGTAAAACGTAAGCCTGTAATCGTTTTACATGATTGCAGAATTGCTGGTGTCTTTTTTGTCTCATAAACATGCAAGATTTCAGGTACATCTTGCTACTTCTACTTACACTTAGGTCACACTACACATATATGTACAAGCATATATATACACACCCCTTCAGGTTTTCTTCTATTTTCTTACTAGTTCTTGCTCTTGTTTATTTCCTCTTATCTCCATGGGGAAGTGGAACAGAATTCTTCCTCTGTAAGCCATATGTGTTGTAAGAGGCGACTAAAATGCCGGGAGCAAGGGACTAGTAACCCCTTCTCCTGTATACATTACTAAAGTTAAAAAGATTAACTTTTTGTTCTTCTTTTTGGGCCACCTTACCTTGGTGGGATATGGCCAGTGCGTTGAAAGAAAGACATCCACTAGCCAGTGACAATATACAATGAATATATCCATTAGCCAGTGGCAATATACAATGAATATATCCAGTAGCCAGTGGCAATATACAATGAATATATCCAGTAGCCAGTGGCAATATGCAATGAATATATCCATTAGCCAGTGACAATATACAATGAATATATCCAGTAGCCAGTGGCAATATACAATGCTTCAATTTAGCCAATCTGGATTCCGAATACTGTATTTAATATTATGTAGTTAAGAATGATTAACTAAAAGACAGGGATAAATCATGGAATGGGTGGTACATGAACCCATTATCAAATGAGTCCTGATACTCACAGGCCAATGTGTTAACCACTGGTTCAGCTGACTAATGAGATTCTTACTAGAGCCAGCTGGCCAAATGGTTAGCACACTGGCCTGTGAATTTTAGAACTCACTTGCCATGGTTTCAAACCCCATCTGTTCCCTGATTTGTTTTCAATAGTGTTATTATGATTTCATGAGTCAAGACAGGATAAACTGATAATCTTCCTGTGAGATACATGTATCGAACAGGTACTAATCATATCCTTAATTTAGCAAAATTTGAAAAAGCTAATCAAGAAACAGTACACCAATTCTATAAATATACTGGTATGTACAACTTAGAGATAGTGAAAATTTTACATTTGTGAAAAAGCTACAGATGGCTGGCAAACTTTCCCATTAAAAAAACAAATTCCAGGTAAGATATCTTATTGAAGGCAAAATGAAATTGAAAAACAAACTTTCTGTAGAAATAGAAAAACATTCAGAGATGATAACTGGATGTTAATGGTATTTTATTGCAAAACAAATTGTATCTAACTATGTACTGCTTACTGAAATATTTATACTGAAATAACAATAGGGTAAATGCACTGCATGCTAGTTGCTTTCTTTTGCACTTAACAGTATTTTAATATGGGTAAACTACACGTTGTATACTGCAAAATAAAAATAAAGGTGTACTGTATTATAAATTATTATTTTGGTGAAGTAGAGCTTGATCATGCAGAATGTGAAAAAGACTTGGGAGTCGTGGTGAGCAGAAATCTAAAGCCAAGACAGCAGTGCCTTAGTGTGCGCAACAAGGCCAACAGATTACTTGGATTTATCTCAAGAAGTATAAGTAACAGAAGTCCAAAAGTTATTTTACAGCTCTATACATCACTAGTTAGGCCTCATTTAGATTATGCTGCTCAGTTTTGGTCCCCTTACTACAGGATGGATATAGACTCATTAGAGAACATACAGAGAAGAATGACCCAAATGATTTACTGTGTAAGGAAAACCCCCCGTATGAAGATAGACTTAAAGCCTTAAATCTCCACTCTCTGGAGAGGCGTAGAATGAGGGGAGATATCATTGAAGTGTATAAGTGGATGACGAGCATAAACAAGGGAGACATTAATAAGGTACTGAGGGTGTCGAACCAGGTAAGAACCAGGAATAATGGATTTAAGTTGGATAAATTTAGATTTAGAAAGGACATAGGTAAGTACTGGTTTTCTAACAGAGTTGTAGATGCGTGGAACAGTCTTCCCAGTGGGGTGATAGAGGCTAGGACCTTGGGTAGCTTTAAGAAGAGACTGGACAAATGTATGAGTGGGAGGGGCTAGGTTTGATTGGTGTCATTGGGTACGGGAGTTAATTCTTGGGTAGCTTTGGGTAGAGGTCGTTTTGATAAGGACCTGCGTCGCATGGGCCAGTAGGCCTTCTGCAGTGTTCCTCCATTCTTATGTTCTTATGTAAAAATCTATATACATGCACCGGCCATATCCCACTAAGGCAGGGTGACCCAAAAAGAAAGAAAATCCCCAAAAAGAAAATACTTTCATCATCATTCAACACTTTCACCTCACTCACACATAATCACTGTTTTTGCAGAAGTGCTCAGAATACAACAGTTTAGAAGCATATATGTATAAAGATACACAACATATCCCTCCAAACTGACAATATCTCAAACCCCTCCTTTAAAGTGCAGGCATTGTATACCTCCCATTTCCAGGACTCAAGTCCAGCTATATAAAATAACTGGTTTCCCTGAATCCCTTCACTAAATATTACCCTGCTCACACTCCAACAGCTCGTCAGGTCCCAAATACCATTTGTCTCCATTTACTCCTATCTAATACACTCATGCACGCTTGCTGGAAGTCCAAGCCCCTCGCCCACAAAACCTCCTTTACCCCCTCCCTCCAACCTTTTCGAGAGCGATCTCTACCCCGCCTTCCTTCCCCTACAGATTTATATGCTCTCCATGTCATCCTACTTTGATCCATTCTCTCTAAATGACCAAACCACCTCAACAACCCTTCTTCAGCTCTCTGACTAATACTTTTATTAACTCCACACCTTCTCCTAATTTCCACACTCCGAATTTTCTGCATAATATTTACACCACACTTTGCCCTTAGACAGGACATCTCCACTGCCTCCAACCGTCTCTTCGCTATAGCATTTACAACCCAAGCTTCTTTGTATATTTAGTAATTTATACAAAAGAGGGGGTTAAAAAAAGCTATATCACATGAGAAATATTAGGTTAGTTTAGCAACTATATGATATGATATGATCACACTGCAACACTGCATTGTGTAGAAGATGGACTTTTGGAAAATTGTGGACAGAGTGCCACTTTTTGTGGCACTCTGTCCATTGATCTTTGAATGCCTGAGTGGAGAGGAATTTGGAGGCAGTGATGTGCTTGAGATCAACCTGTAGTGTGAATATCACACAGTATAAGGACTGAATTAAAAAAAATGGTGTGGTGGTATGATAAATGGGTACTTTAGGTGATTTGATCATAAGAACATAAAAAAGAAGGAACACTGCAGCAGGCCTACTAGCCCATACCTGGCAAGTCCTTAAACTCAAACCCACTAAAAATTATTCTTCCAACCCATTTGCCCATCCCATTATCACTTAGAAAAGCTGGAGCAAGATGCGCTAACCAAGAAGGTGCACTGAATCTGGGAAGAAGAGAAAGTGTAAGGAACATCCTAGATTTGGTTTGGAAGGAAGATATGAGAAGTAGGGGTCTTTAGCGTCCAGCAAGCATGTGTGTATATTAGATCAGAGTGGAGACAGGTGCCTTTTGGGATATGATTGGCATTTTGAGTGTGAGCAAGGTGATCTGTATGAAGGAACTCAAGAAAAGAGCAAAGATCTGGAAATGTAAGGAACAGTGCCTGCACTCAGAAGGATGGCCAGGGATATTGCAGTTAGGAAGGTCATTTGAATTATGATTTCTGCCCTACATGTAGAAAGCCAACTATTGAATGAATGTGCTCCTTCTTTGAGTTAGCCTATCATGATGGTAAATGACTGATGTGTTTAAAAAAATGAAAATTATACACATTATAAATAAAGACACCGACCTTAACAACAATCTCAAATTTTCTGGTAACTGCTCTGTCAACTGCTGCAATGTGGGTGACGGCTCCTGTTTGTGGCTCAATTGCAAAGTAGCGGTCATATGTTTTTGGTCGACCTGACATGAAGGAATACCTGCAATAAAATTCTCAGATAACAAAACTGTAAAAAGTAGTGAGTACTGAAGTGTATAATAAATAAATTATATGGTATGCATAATGTATGCAAATCACATCTTAATACATATTATTATCAGGAAAAATATATTCCACTTCTTCAGTCTTTTACATCTGTGTCTACCCATAAAGCATAATTTCTTCTTAATTAAATGGGATATAAAATAAACTGTCTCACAAACTTACTGTAAACATATCCTCAACTCTGCTTGGAACTATATTAAAAAGAATTTACTATACTAAAGCAATAACCATATTACTGGACAATGGTGCAAAATAATAAATTATTAAATGACTAACACACACACACACACACACACACACACTCACATACCACACACACCACACACACACACACACACACACACACACACACACACACACACACACACACACACACACACACACACAGGAGGGCCAGGAGCTCGGACTCGACCCCCGCAACCTCAACTAGGTGAGTACACCTAGGTGAGTACACACACACACACCAGGAGCTGAGTCTCAACCCCAGCAACCACAATTAGGTGAGTACACACACACACACAAGGCTACTTCCAGAGCTCAGGGGAATGTCATACGAGGAAAGGTTGAGGGAAATCGGACTGACGACACTGGAGGACAGAAGGGTCAGGGGAGACATGATAACGACATACAAGATACCGCGGGGAATAGACAAGATGGACAGAAACAGGATGTTTCAGAGAAGGGACACAGAAACAAGGGGTCACAATTGGAAGCTAAAGACTCAGACGGTCACAGGGAAGTTAGAAAGTATTTCTTCAGTCATAGAGTCGTCAGGAAGTGGAATAGCCTAGCAAGTGAGGTAGTGGAGGCAGGAACTATACATAGTTTTAAGAGGTATGACAAAGCTCAGGAAGCAGAGAGGGAGAGGACCTAGTAGTGATCAGTGAAGAGGCAGGGCCAGGAGCTGAGTCTCGACCCCTGCAACCACAATTAGGTGAGTACATACACGTACACATGCACACACGCACAGCATTCCAATACCTCAGTAAGGAATCGTTCAAGATTCTGTACACCATGTATGTCAGGCCCATACTGGATTATGCAGTACCAGTCTGGAACCCACACCTGGTCAAGCACGTCAAGAAATTAGAAAAAGTGCAAACGTTTGCAACAAGGCTGGTTCCAGAGTTAAGGGACATGCCCTATGAAGAAAGGGCAAGGAAAATTGGCATGACAACACTGGAGGACAGGAGGGTTAGGGGAGACATGATAATGACATACAAAATACTGCGAGAAATAGATAAGGTGGACAGAGGCAAGATGTTCCAGAGATGGGACACAGACACAAAGGGTCACAATTGGAAGTTGAAGACTCAGATGAGTCAAAGGGATGTTAGGAAGTATTTCTTCAGTCACAGAGTTGTGAGGAAGTGGAATAGTCTGGCAAGTGATGTAATGGAGGCAGGAACCTTACAGAGCTTTAAGATGAGGTATGATAAAGCTCATGAAGCAGGGAGGTGAGGACCTAGTAGCTACCAATGAAAAGGTGGGGCCATGACCTGAGTCTCAACCCCTGCAACCACAAATAGATGAGCATGTACACACATGCACATAGAAACATGCACACACACATGGACACTCGCACACATGCACACTCGCACACATGCACACTCGCACACATGCACAGTATTGCACACACATTCAAACACATGCATGCATATTTAAGACCAGCAATCCTGCCAATGTGTATAATGTTTATGATACATATACATGTATTTCAAATTCATATAACAAGACAAGAGTACCTCTCTGGATGATTACTATCTAGCAACATTCTACCAGACATATATACACTTCATCAGTCCATTAATATGATGTCACTACTGTTCTCCATTACACCAAAAATTAAAACTGTTTACCCTTTTCAGTTTATGTTTCGTGCCAGAGTACGGCTCCCACTTTCCCGAGGTGTAACAATAATTTGTTGTCTGCTAACCATTTGCTGCAGTACAGCTTTATCCCAGAATACAATATTACACTAAAGCCTATCAATTAAAATATCTGTAAATATATTTATATTGTATATACTGTGTACAACAATTAACACTGTACAAGTTGATCACTAGTACAGTGGTACCTCAGGATAAGAACAGCTCAAAATTCGAACAATTATGTAAGTGTATTTATGTAAGTGCATTTGTAAGAGTATTTTTGGGAGTCTGAAATGGATTAATCTAATTTACATTATTCCTTATGGGAACAAATTCATTTGGTATCGGCACTTGAACAGCCTTCTGGAAAGAATTAAGTTCGTATCCCGATGTACCACTGTATTTCAATCTATTTATAATTTTCCCAAATTAAAAACTAATGCTATCTTCTGAATGGTATTTTAAATTCAATTTTTAAATAAGAGTAAAATGTCTAAATTTCAGTCTTTCATATACCTTTGAAGAATTTCGAGAGTATATCTACTCTCTGAGCCCGGCCATGGGCCAGGCTCGTCTGGTGCTCGCCTGGTCAACCAGGCTGTTGCTGCTGGAGACCCGCTGCCCCACATATCTATCACAGCCTGGTTGATCTGGCACCTGGTGAAAATACTTGTCTAGTTTCCTCTTGAAGGCCTCAACACTTGTTCCAGCAGTGTTTCTGACATCTTCTGGTAAGATGTTGAAAAGTCTGGGACCCCAGATGTTGATACAGTGTTCCCTTATTGTCCCCACTGCACTCCTGCTCCTCACTGGGTTTATTTTACACTTCCTCCCATATCTCTCACTCCAGTATGTTGTTATGGCAGTGTGCAGATTTGGGACAAAGCCCTCGAGTACCTTCCAGGTATATATTATCATGTACCTCTCTCTCCTCCGCTCCAATGAGTACATGTTCAAGACTTGCAGGCATTCCTAGTAGTTTAGGTGCTTTACTGGCTCAATGTGAGCTGTAAACGATCTCTGTATTTGTTCCAGCTCCGATATTTCTCCTGCCCTTAACGGGGCCGTCAGCACTGAGCAATATTCTAGCAATGCTATAAGAAATTTTAAATTTAGAATGATCGCCAAAAATCTGAATTACAAAAACTGTAATTAAAAGGATTCTTTAATCTGTATTTTTTCAGACTGTATCTCTGAAACATAAAATGTCAATTTGGAACAATCCCTTATTCAGAAATTATTAGGCATACTCCAGGAATGAGAGGGACAGGGATATTTGTAGTTTTTAAACTGCAGTATCAGCATCCCTTTAACAAGACAGTGATGGAGTGAGTGATGGTGAAAATGTTTCTTCTTTTTCTGGGCCACCCTGCCTTGGTGGGAGATGGCCAGTTTATTAAAAAAAAAAAAAAGAAAGAGGGCATGGTACAATTTTTAAAGCTGTACAACACTGCACGTAATCAAAATATTGCAACATCTGAAAACCCTAGTACACCCGTTATACTGAATGAGAGATAATACTGTACTCAGCATAACCATTATACTGAAAGAGACAATACAGCCTCTCCTGAATTAGCAACATACTTGTTTACTGACGACTTGGACTTACGATGGGCTCTCTGACCAGTATGCATACCTAAATAATGTATATTAGAGCTGATTTCCTCTATTCTGTTTATTACAATATACACTACACTACTGTATAAACATTTAAAAATATACTAAAAATGTTATAAATGGTGCAAAGGTGACATTAAAACATTAAAACTACCATTATAATATGCTCCTTGCTTAGTGATGAATTCATTTACTGACAGCATTCTGAAATCCACTGATAAGAAACACCAACATGAAAAGCAATATAGACAGGGCTTAATACACAAAGATATTCTTAAACACTATTCATCAGTTCTCACCAAAGTAATAAATAGGCTCAATGAATAATAGGCTCAAATATCTACTAGGGCATAAGAAAGGAATTTATAGGTGTATCAAAAGAGGTGAGGGTCATCTTATGAATCAGTATATTGACATTAAGAGGGACATTAAAAAGGGGATAAGAAAAGCTAAAAGGGACTATGAAATTAAAGTTGCTAGGGATTCTAAAACTAACCCAAAAAGTTTTTTCCAGGTCTATAGAACAAAAGTTAGAGATAAGATAGGTCCCCTTAAAAATAACTATGGGCACCTTACTTACAAAGAGAATGAAATGTGCTCGATTTTTAATAATTATTTTCTCTCAGTTTTAACACAGGAAGACACTAACAATATTCCAGTAATTAATTTTTATAGTGGGCTAGAAGAAGATAAATTATGTAACATCACAGTCACTAGTGAAATGGTTGTGAAGCAGATAGACAGACTGAAGCAAAATAAGTCGCCGGGTCCTGATGAGGTTTTTTCAAGGGTTCTTAAAGAATGCAAAATGGAACTCTGTGAACCATTAACTAATATTTTTAATTTATCTCTTCAAACAGGTGTAGTGTCTGATATGTGGAAGATGGCTAATGTAATTCCTATTTTTAAAACAGGGGACAAGTCGTTACCGTCAAATTACCGCCCAATAAGCCTGACCTCAATTGTAGGCAAATTACTAGAGTCAATTATAGCTGAGATTATAAGAAGCCATCTCGATAAGCATAGCTTGATTAATGATACTCAGCATGGATTCACAAGAGGCCGGTCTTGTCTAACTAATTTATTAACTTTCTTCAGTAAAGCTTTTGAGGCTGTTGACGACGATAAAAAATTTGATATTATTTACTTAGATTTTAGTAAGGCTTTTGATAGAGTTCCGCACCATAGACTGTTAAAGAAAGTGGCAGCTCATGGCATTGGGGGAAAAGTGCTCTCGTGGATCGAGTCATGGCTCACTGACAGGAAGCAGAGAGTGTCCATAAATGGGGTTAAATCCGAGTGGGGATCTGTAACAAGTGGCGTTCCAAAGGGATCAGTCTTGGGCCCGTTGTTGTTTATAATATATATCAATGATCTTGATGAGGGAATTACTAGTGATACGAGCAAATTCGCCGATGACACAAAGATAGGTAGGATAATTGATTCA